AAATGCCAGAAGTGCGTGGACCCATTCTGGAATTCGTCTTCACCTAGCAAGTAAATAACTTTAGCCACGTCTTCTTGTGCATTTTTTCCACTTCTTTCAAAAAGGCACGCGGAAAGACCTCGTGCTAATCTCTAGCCGAGAAAGTCGTATTTTTCGGAATTGGTGTCGGCAACAGCGGTATTTAGCTGAAGAAGAGGAAGCAGAAGAAGAAGAAGAGGAAGCGGAGGAGGAGGAGGGAAAGGTGTAGGGGAGTTGCAGCACACCAGCATTATTTGATAGCTCACCGCGTCTCCCCCCAGTCCCATGCGTGTCCCCTGGTAAGCAGGCAGCACACGCGAAAAGTCCATGCAGAAAAACAAACCGCCTTTTACAAAATTAACTGGCTTGACAACCAACCAGCTCAAGCAAAAAACCATGTGCTTGCCGCGTTTTTACTTATGCACAAAAAGAAGGCTATGCGACAGATTTGTTTTACCTAAGACGATGGTTAACAGGGAGTACTCACAAATGGACTTATCAGTGACCAATTACGGTGTTTTGGAATGGAAGAGCGATTTCCTCTGTCGGGAATATAGCTAAAACCATCTTGTTGAGTAAGTAACCTAGACACTTTGAGATTTGTAATGTTACTGAACTCTTGAAATCTCTGCACTGAATCAGCCAATAAAATTGTGAATTCGTCACGACCGCGGTGCTATTTGATTGGTCAACTGATGACAAGAGCTGATTCGCACCTTTTCAATAATCTTAAAACTCACAATATCCTTTACTTACTTTTTGTTAACATAAAATTGTATTTTTTTCACAACTAGATCCCGCTTCGAGTCACAAAAGAGTTATGTATTGACCTTGAAAAAAAATGCGTATCTACAAAATGGGTTTAATAAGTCATTTCCCCATATTTTTTGCCTGCGAAAACTGAAAAAATGTGTGTACGAAGTAAAACGCTGGGTTGGATTGGCCAAATCCATCCTTAATTATCACTTTTTTTTCACTGACAAGCCAAGTGTTACTTAAAAGATTTTCAGTAGGACGCCACGGAGTATCGGTTATGAAACTGGGAAACGCAATTCAAAAAAGATTTTTGAAAAAAAAAGAAAGTAAACATTGCAATGTGTATCACCGGTAAAATTGTTTAAAAAAGTTATCTGGATGTTTTAACCACCAGTGAGAAGAAGGCGTGAACAGCCCTGTGGGTGAAATCTTCCGCGCTGTAGACTCTGTCAACGCCTGACGGGATTTGTACGGTCCGCTGAAAATGCAATCAGTTTAAACAAACACGTCAAACAAATTGGCCATTTTTTACCTACAATTTTCGATAGTTGGCATTTCTGACTATCTTCATTATCATTCTGAGGAAATTTGGTTTAAACAAGATAGCATTAAGGCAGAAAGAAAAAAACTGTTTTAAAAGGAAGTTAGGCCATCAAAAATGCCGAATTAAAATAAAATTAATCGTCCAATGTTTCTGTCCTTCTATAGATATTCCCCTTTCCGCTCTCCTTCCCTGCATCTGTCATTCATAATGCAGAATGGATGCGGCAAGATGGCGAAAGGAGCTGTCCATTTAAACAAAAGTGTCAGAGACGAAACTCAAGTCCTTATGGAATTACTTCTTCTTTTTCATGACAAATAAGTCGCTGTAAGTCACAGCACAAAAATGTCCGAAAGTGTACTACTTCACCCGAAACCTGGATCAGTTTCTGCATTTTGAATTCGAAAATGTCTGGCGATGTTTCTGGCTATCAAATCTGCCATGAACGCCAGTTTTCTTGTTCAAATCGACTGCACCCCAATTTCATTGGCCAATTTCCCCTTTGAGTATACTTTCGATTTATTGGTTACTAA